AAAAAAAAAAAAGTTTATCACAGGTTCCTTTAAATGCTAGGCATTTAGAATTAGTTTTTTTAAGGCCAGGTACAGTGGCTCACACCTGTAATCCCAGCACTTTGGGAGGCCGAGGGCAGATCACTTGAGGCCAGAAGTTCAAGACCAGCCTGGCCAACATGGAGAAACCCTCTCTCTGCTAAAAACACACGCAAAAAATTAGCCAGGTGTAGTGGTGGGCGCCTATAATCCCAGTTACTCAGGAGGCTGGTTCAAGAATTCAAGAATCACTTGAACCCAGGAAGCAGAGGCTGCAGTGAGCTGAGACAGCGCCACTGTACTCCAGCCTGGGTGAAAGAGCGAGACTCCGTCTCCAGAAAAAAAACAAAAAGTTTTTTATTGTTGTCTTTTGTGAGACAGGGTCTCACTGTATTGCCCAGGCTGGAGTGCAGTGGTGCAATCACAGCTCACTGCAACCTCCGCCTCCCAGGCTCAAGCAATGCTCCCACCTCAGTCTCCAGAGTAGCTAGGACTACAGGCATGTGCCACCACACCTGGCTAATTTTTGTATTTTTTTGTACAGACAGGGTTTTGCCATGTTGCCCAGGCTGGTCTTGAACTCCTGGGTTTTTGTACTTTTTGTAGAGAGGGGGTTTAGCCATGTTGTCCAGGCTGGTCTCAAATTCCTGGGCTCAATGTTCCACCTGCCTCGGCCTCCCAGCGTGCTAGGATTACAGGTGTGAGCTACGATAACTGGCCTAGAATTAGTTTTAATATAGAAAAGTATTATACTAAATTTTCTCAGACTGCTTAAAGCTATAGTTTGGGGGAGAAAGAAAAATGTTTTTCAATTAAAGATTTAAATACTACACTTTTAAAACTTTTTATTATGGAAATCTAAAAACATTCACCAAATTACAGAGAGCATTACAATGAACCACCACATACCCATCACCCATTTTCAACAATTATCAACACATGGCCTATCTTGTTTCATCCATACCTTCAGCCACCCTCCGTCCACAAACTGGGTTATTCTGAAGCAAGCCACTGACATTTCATTCATTATTATTGTGATATATATCTCTGACAACAAGGATTTAAAAAAATATTTTACACCTCAGAAAATGACTATAATTCCTTAATATAAAATTATTTAGTCAATGTCCCAAATTTACAGGAAAAAACCACTGCTTTTAAA